ACATAGATTTAGGTTTAACATTCACGTATGTATCAATTCTTAATGCCACCTTATTGCTTAATAGGATGAGAAATCATCGACTAAACAATAAGGTCAAACTCTAATCAGAAGCTTAGACATAAACTCTATTTGTGAGCAAAACGTGATGATATTGATAAATATCTAGGTTTTATATAACTGATTAGTAAGCTATGTATTCAACGATGGATGAAATCCAATCCCGACAAGCTTTCATATCTTTGAAACTTTATCTATCATTTATCAATTTATATTCTGTAACTATAAATCATCAAACATCTTGCTAACTCCTACTTAAAATCATAGTAACTGTTGAACAATATTGATATTGCACCACTCTCTATGGATACGATAAAACAAATACTTAATTTTGATATTTAACATCAGTACTATACTTCACACAATGATAGTTCTACTATTGGTTCTTTTCTTGAGTTCCAAGAAAGTGGTGCACCACCTAACAAAAACACATAACCAGATGTGAATTTTTTATCTCCAACATCACTACACCAACTAGAGTCGGTATAACCCACTAGCTTGCATTCTTTTCCTTCATCAGTTTCAGGAAACAAAATTCAATAGTAGAGAGTTCCTTTGAGGTACCTTAGTATGCTCTTTGTCGTTTAAAGGTGTAATACCTCCGGCTTCTGCATGAATCTACTCATTATTACTATATTGTATGCTAGATCAGGACTTGTGTGACAAAGGTATCTTAATGACCTAATAAGTCTTCTGTATTGTGTTGGGTCAACATCATCTTCATCCAAGTCTTCCGACAATTGCAGTCTTGGTTCAGCAGGTGTCGAAGTCGCAGTGCAATCTTCCATCTCAAATCTTTTGAGTATTTCACTTTCATATCTTCTTTGATGCATCATTAAGCCTCTAATACTCATGTAGAATTTGATGCCAAGGAAGTATGAAATGTTTTCCGGATCATACATTTCAAATTCCTTACTAAGATCACTTTTGAAGTCTTCGATCTCTTTCTTATAGCTACCTATTATTAACATGTCATCGACATGGAGACACAGTATAAGAATTTCACTCTTGCTTCTCCTTACATATACTTTTCTGCTCATTTGTTCACTTCACAAATTCCTTTTACCTTGGGAAATTATCTATCTTCTTATTCCAAGCTCTTGGAGCTTGTTTAAGTCCATACAGAGTTTTATGTAGCATGTATACTTTTCTTTCTTGGTTTAATTTAACAAACCCAAGTGGTTGTGCACCGTAAACTTCTTCTTATAAGGGGACATTCAGGAACGCACATTTCACATCCATCTGACAGTTGTTCATGTTTGTTAGACCAATAACCAACTTGCTTATTTTGATTCTAGCAACAGGTGAAAAAACTCCATCGAAGTCGATTCCTTATTTTTGAAGAAATCCTTTTGCCACAAGTCTTGCCTTGTGTCGAGTTACCTCTCCTTAGGGATTCAACTTCTCCTTGTATACCCACTTCACATCGATTTCCTTCTTTCGTTGAGGCAATTCGACAAGTGACCAAGTGTTGTTGACTTTGATGGACTTTAGTTCCTCATTCATAACTCTCATCCACATTGAATCCTTCAATGTCTTAGCTGCATTAACTGGTTCGACATCTGTATAAAAAGCATAAGCTACCAACTCACCTTCATAATCGACCACATCATCTGATTTAATCACACATTCTTACAACCTTGCAGGAGTTTTTCTTGTTCTTTGAGGTCTGCTTGTGCTTGCTTGACATCTGACTTCTTCTTGTCGAATTTCTCTTTAGACTTCACTTGTTGGTTCTTCAAATAAAATTCTCACTGAGTCTTTATTTATATTTTTACTGCAATCTCATTCCTTAAGCTCATCTATGATCACATCCCTATTGACCACTACTTGCTTGTTCACCGGGTCAAACAACTTGTAACCTCCAATTGAATGATATCCTATTATAATCATTTGACTCGACTTTTCAACAAGTTTTCTTCTCAATTAATCAGGAACATGTGTATGTGTTATATATCCAAATACTTTCAGATGAATTAAGCTAGGCTTGAGACCAGACCAACATTCTTCTAGAGTGATTCCTTCTAGCCTTTTCATCGTACATTTGTTCAAGATGTATATTGCAGTCGACACAACTTCTCCCCATAATTCTTTAGATAAATGCTTGCCTTTCAACATGTTTCTCACTATATTCATGATGGTTCTATTCTTTCTTTATAAAGTTCCAATATGTTGTGGAGTGTAGGGTGGAATCACATTATGTATAATCTCTTCTTTCTCACATAATGCATTGAAATATTTTGACACATATTCTCCACCATCATCAATCCTCAAAATATTGAGCTTTCGAACACTTTGTAATTCAAACATAAATTTAAACTTGACAAATAACTCAATGACTCAACTTTTCTTCTTGATTAAGAAGTCCATAATTTTCTACTAAAATCATATATGAATGTGACAAAGTATGTGTTACCTCCAATAAAATCCACTTGCATAGGACCAGACACATTAGGGTATATGATTTCAAGGATTGCCTTAGACTTGCTTCCTACATCCTTGTTGAAGTTGTTCTTTTGTTGCTTTTCCTGCACACACTCTTCACACACTTCACTTGGAATGTCTATTTCTGGTAACCCTAAAACCATATTTCTTCTTTTCAAATCTATGATGTCTTTGAAGTTAAAATGGCCAAGTCTATATTTCCATTTTCATTCATCCCTGCTAGCTGCAGTTGCAAGGCACTTGAGCTCCATCATATTAAGTTCAATCTTGAAGGTTTTGTTCTGAGACATATGAGCCTTCAAGATTAACCTTCCACCTGAGTCGAGAATTCTAATCATCTTATCTTCAATAGAAAATTTGTAATTCTTTTTGACCAACTTCCCTATGCTAAGAAAATTACTTTTCATGCCTGGTATATATAATACATTGAAAATTACAGACCTTTTACCATCTTTCCTCATAATTATAACATCACCAATACCTTCAACTCATATAGTATTGTCTTTTGAAAATTTCACCATGTTCTTCATCGAGGGTCTTATGTTGACAAACCAATATTTTCTACCAATCATGTGTGATGAGCATCCTGAATCCAAGTGCCACTGGTCTTTGAATCTTTCTTCATCTCTTGTTGTGACCACCATCAACATCTATTCTTCTTCATGCTTTGTAAGTTTTGCATCATTTTCTTGATTCTTTTGTTTTTCAGGATATTTGCTAGAGTAGTGACGATACTTCTTACAATTGAAGCACTGAATGTGGCTTTTGTCAGGTTTTCGCCCACCATATTTTCCTCTTCCAACAACACCACCTATGTGGTTGCTTTGGTATGAAGGTCTTATTTGACTCGTTAAATTTCCTTCTTACTGGTTTCTTTTACCAGCCGAATTATTGTAGTCTCCTCTATCTTTGTTGTCAAACCATTTTCCTTTTCCTTTCTTTTTTCTTTTTGATTGCGCCTGCAGAGCCACATAACTCTTTGACTTTCCTGAAGCTCTTTCAACCATTCTTTGCTAATGAGATTCAAGTGTCCCTTGAAGCTCTTCCTTTGTCAATATTGAAAAATCCTTCGGTTCTTCTATGGCTAGTACCACATGATCGAATTTTAGAGCCAAAGACCTCGGGATCTTTGCGACAACTGATCTTGATGTCAGCGCTTCTCTATATTCCTTGATTTGATTCACTAGTTTCGTAAACCTAGTGAAGAAATCAATCATGCTTTCACTTTATTTCATCTAAAGTAAATAATACGTTCTTTTGTGAGTTTGTAACTTCACCTCTTTCACCTTTTCAATGCCTCTAAAAAATTTCTACAAAATTTCCCATGCTTCTTTCGCTGTTTCTACATCACTCAACTTTTTTAAATTATTTGGACTAACACATTGATAGATTATAAAGAGAGGTTTATAATATTTCTTCTTCGATTCTTTATGTTCAGCCTTTTGTTCATCTGTCGCGTTTTCTATAAGTGGTATTACTCCTTCTTTTACAAGATCCCAATGATCTTTGATAACATAAAAACAATCTTCATCTGCTTACATCGATTCTCATAGTTGTCATCTTTCAGAATCAAAAGACTCAACTGAAAATGCACGTTCGGATGATTCATCGCACTATGATTCCCAAGAATCACATAACCAGTGCTCTAAATACCATATATTCGAATTACACCTAAAACTTGGAGAATTCCGAATCAACCTTGATGAACAAGAACCAATCTTTTCGATTAATTTCTTCTTTTGTTCTTCACTCTTCACTCAAGTGAATCAACCACACATTGATTGCAAAATTATTCCGCCAAACAACTATAATGAAAGAAAAAAATTAAATTGAAAAAGAAAAAGGAATTAAGATTACGAAAGGGGAAGAAAAAGTTGTTAATTCTGCATACAAAACTATCTACTCTTTATTTTACTTATTGAAATATTATGATTAACACATTATAATAATATTATAGTACCTCCTTATTTATAGGCTTCTGTTGCTTGTTCAATAAACAGTATCCAACTAACTAACTAAAGCAAACAAAATAATACTAAATCAAAATTTTGTAGAAACACTTCTTCGACATTTCACTTTCTTATAATTTCGACACGTAACATAGTTTCAACACAAAAAATTACTCTCAACCATTATAATTGAGTTCAATCTTTTTATATATTTGATCGACCGTGTAACTAAAAGAATGGCATAAATTAACACCACAACAATTATTTTAGGCATTGCCGGCAAAACCATCATAATATACAATATAGCAGAAATATTACAAGTGCTTGAACATGTAATATTGCTTACTTTGTTTTTCAAGAGGGAATAGTTAGGACAACCAATTCAAAGCTAGTTTTGGCAGCTAAACCGCTAAAATAAAATAAAAAATATTATATAGAAATCATGTAGAAGTAACCAGAAATCAGCACATAAAATGTTGAACATTTACAAGTATTTGAAAAGAAACTACATCAAAATACATGTTCTCTCTTGCCATATATACTGAAGTTTTAATGTGTATATTTTGATGGTAAAGAAGCAGAGGCTGCGCTTGACTCAACCAATATTGACCATAGAACTTGCACATCTTCACATGGACATGACTTCACATCCTTATATAAGATGTATATTCCTCTACCTATTATCCACAAGAAAAACAAATTATAATCGGTAATAATTAATAAAATCATAATTATTTTGTATTTATTATTAAAATAATATATTAGAACTCATACTTACTCCTTTTATTGGTTGAATGAAGTCGAACCCAGATCTTCTTCAATGGGGAGAGTAAGGATCCAAGCCACCCCATTTTGGTGATGTGTTACTACTTTTGGGTCATTGTTGAAAAGTGTTTATAAAGAGAGATTGCTTGGAAATTGGAACATAGACACTTTAATAGTACTGCTTCTCATGTATATTACCAAATTTGTTTTTGTAATCATGCAAGAAAAACATGGCCATTTGGTGTAATGTCTTTGTCATACATATTCTATCTTATGCAAGGAGCTAAACCATGTGTTTATAAACAAACAATAAGGTGTACCATCTTGCATTCGTCATTACTTTAAAAAAACTTATGTGTGAAGCACAAAGGTTTTTACAGTTTTTATGTATAAAAAGGTATTGAGAAAGTGTTCTTTACAGTTTTATAACTAGCAAGTTGATTTTCCTTGATTACTTTGTGAGAATTGAGAACCAGCAAGTTTATTTGATTAGAAAACAAAATCTCATAGAAGAAAAATAAAATTGCCATTAAAATTAATTAAAGGCGTAAGAATGAAATTTGTAACTACTAAATTAGAGAAGGATTTCATTTTATATTATTTTAATAATTTTTATATTGTTTGAAAATTTGAGTCGAATCTATAAAAGGGTTCGAGAGAGTCTGCCCCAGTCTCCAAACATCTTATGGGGCAACTCAGATTTTGATCGACATAAATAGGCTAAAGCGAACATGTCAGCCCAAGGCCAACACATACGATTGATAGATGGTACAGTTTAATACACATACTTAATTTTAAGAGAAAATTAACGTCCATAAATGACTGATTTCAATCAAAGAAATACCAGACTTGATGCTCTTTATTACATTCATCCAGGCAAGAAAACTTATACTTTATATTCTGGTCTCAACACTTAAAGCATCTCACACATATGGGCTTTATGTTTGAGAAATTGTGTACCTTCCGATCTCTTAAGTTGGATTCGAATCATTATTATTTTAAATGATGTTGATGATGATTATTGTGATAGCAATTGTTGCATCTTAAAATTCTCCCTCCTAATCGATATTTTATATGGCTTAAGTTTTCTCATTCATTTACATATATTTCATTATCATATGCATACATACACATCATTGATTATATGGTCATGGGATCAAGGTATTTCCTTTAAGCCTCGTCAGGTTATGGAAGACGTTATTTCTTCAGTCAACGCACTCATAGCATTCTCCAAGCTATCTAATCAGTGAGTAGCCAAGTCCTCATCATGCCAAGTTCCCATGTGTTCCCCAGTGCCTTGAATTGCAGAGAAAATCAAGCGTTTCAGTTGATTTGAGACAGCTCGGATCGAAAATCAATATTTTGTGGTTCGAGTTCAAAAATTCATAACTTCTGACCGGAAAAATATTTAGGAGTGTTCTTTAGGCATAATAACCGTCTTGACATCTTCTCCAATTCATATGTTCGGGCCGGAAGTGAATTATTTGAAGAAGATCTCTGAATATGCAAATACCCTGAAAACGATATCTTGAAACAGTGTGATAATCGCTTGATTTTTGGATGTTTAAAAATTCATAACTTTCGTGCGGTTCAATATTTTTGGTGGCTCTTTGGGCATAAGATTCATCTTG